GATGGATGGATGGATGGATGGATGGATGGATGGATGGATGGATGGGTGGGTGGATGGGTGGGTGGGTGGGCTTTAGTTAATATTGGTTATGTAGTAACCTTTAGGGGAGATAACTGTATAATAGAGAAAGAGGGTAAAAGTGTTACTGCTACTTTAGAGAATGATTTATATGTGATACATGATGACCAGTTGCAGATGGCTAACTCAGTTTATAACAATGTTAAGCGACATGATGAATGTATACATTTACTGCATAGACATCTGGGGCACATTAATTTCAACATGCTCAAACAAACTGTTGAATTGTCAGAGGGAGTAAAATTGAAACCCTGTAGCAAGTATTTAAACTGTAATGTTTGTAGCCAAGAGAAAAGCAAGGTTACTCCTGCAAACAGACTTAATGGGTTTAAGACCAAAGAACCTTTAGAGGTTGTGTTTGCAGACATAACTGGTCCTAAGAAACCTAGTTTGGGAGGTGCCTGCTATATTTTGAGTATAATGGACCATTACTCATGGTACGGTTTCTGCTATCTCATGAAAAACAAAACAGAAACATTCCAACATTTCTTTAACTGGCTAAGATATGCAGAGAGAAAAATGAGGAGTAAAGTAATTATTTTAGTTACTGATAACGGGACTGAGTTTGTTAACAAGAGATTCCAAACAATACTGAAATTGGCTGGTGTTGAGCATAAACGTTCTGCACCTTACAGACCACAACATAACTCATTTGTAGAATGAAGAGGGCAAACATAACAAGCCATGGCTCGCACTATGTTATCTGATTCAGGTTTGCCTGAAACACTGTGGGGTGAAGCCATAATTTGTAGCAATCATGTGTTAAACAATGTAGTTAACACAACAACTGGAGAATTGCCATTCACTCGTTGGCATGGCAGAAAGCCAAATTTAAGTTACCTACACACATTTGGAGCTCCAGCATGGGTGCATATTCCCTCATAAGTAAGAATGAAAGGGCAACATAGGGCTAAGAAATTATTTTTTGTAGGTTACGAGACCAACCATAGATTGTTTAGATTTTGGGATCCAGGCACAGCTCATGTTTATTGTAGCGTTAGTGCAAAATTTCTTGAGCATGTTGGGTGGAATAAACTGGAACAGGAATCCAGCAATGATGTTATTATTGACACCAAAGTAGTCCCTAAAGATGAAATAGTTAAACCATCAATATGCATTAAAGAGGAAGAACAGGCACAGGAGGAAGTAGGAGAACAGGCACAGGAGGAGATAGGAGAACAGGAGCAGGTAGAACAGGTAACTCCACCAGTTAGCCCTGTATTACCAAGACATTCAACCCGAGTAACACGACCACCTGATAAATATCAGGCTAGTATTGTATGCCAAGTGAGTACAGTTCCAAGTAACTATAATGAACTAAAACTGTATCCTGCTAAGGATCGGCTGCTTGGCAGGAAGCAATGGATAAGGAACTGAAATCCTTACAAAGGTTGGAGATATACGAAAATGTTAAGTTACCATCAGGTAAACATGCCATAGGGTATAAATGGATTTATAAACTGAAGACAGGTGTGGATGGGACTGTCACCCATAAAGCCAGGTTAGTAGCACAAGGGTTCAATCAGACAGCAAATGACTATGATGAGGTGTTTGCACCTAGTCTGAAGGCTACTACATTACGGGCAGCATTAGTGTGGGCAGCTAAGGAGAAATACATTATAAATCATTTAGATGTAGAGACGGCATATCTGAATGCACCGTTGCAACACACTATATATTTAAAGAAACCTCTAAGTATCAAAAATGATAATACAACTGATTGCTGGAGATTGAAAAAGAGTGTTTATGGCTTGAAGCAATCAGGATATGAGTGGAACCAGTGTATAGTTAAGGAATTAACTAAGATAGGTTTTGTAGCTGGCATGGCTGATCCATGTTTGTTTAAAAAAGAAAGTGATGGTGTAATTTCATTGTTGCTATTGTTTACTGATGACATAGCATTAATCACCAAAACTGAACAAGAAGCTACTAAAATAATTTAACTGTTAGAGAAGAAATCTAAGATAAAACAGTTAGGTGAAATTAAACAATATCTTGGTTTAAAGATAGATAAAACTAGGGGAGGATACAAGATCTCACAGGCAGATAAAATTAACCAATTACTAAAGAATTTAAAATGGAAAATGGAAACACCGATGAGCCAGGAGTTTAGCCATAGTAATGTTCAAAGTCCTGTTTTTGATAAGAACATTTATCAGTCCTTGATTGGTAGTTTATCTTATCTCAGTAATTGGTCAAGGCCAGATATAGCATACTGTGTTAACCAATTAGCTAGATTTAACACTGAGCCGACTGAAAGGCACTGGAAAGCTGCTAAGCGTATGTTAAGATATCTGAAACAAACAATGCATTATGCATTGTATTTGGAGCCTAAAGATGAACTGAGTTTAACTGCATATGCCGATGCAGATTTTGCTACAGACATAAATACACGAAAATCTACATCAGATACTGTAGTATTATTGGGAAAGGTGTTGATTGGATGGAGGTCTATTCGACAGAGGCATTTAAGTTCGTCAACAATGGAGGCTGAATTCTTAAGTTTGTCTTTATTATGTGCAGATTTAGTTTATTATAAGCAACTATTAATTGACATGGGAATTGATGTAACAGATTCTATTGTTGTTTATGAAGATAACCAATCAGCAATACAAATGGCTTCAAATATTGCTGTTAAGACAAGATCAAAACACACAGATTTAAGATATTTAAATGTGAGACAATGTGTGCAAAGTAAGATGATTAAGCTGAAATACTGTATGTCAGAAAATAACATCGCAGATCATTTTACAAAAGCTCAAGGCTCTGTAAAGCATAAGGCTTGCTGTGAGGATTATGGACTTAGAATGTAAGGTTGTATATATTGTCCTACCCAAAGGGGAGAATGTTAGGAATGTAAGTCACTTAACAGTTAGTTGGGTTGGAAAATATATAAACCAAGATAGACATTTTAATACTGTCTCTTTAAGAGAATGCTAAAAGTGTAATTGGGTGTGGTTCCTCAAATGGCCATAAGATGGAGCCAGAAACCTGGGTTGTTTTGGTCCTGTTCTGTTGTTCTGGAGACTGTTGCTGATCATAGTTGGATTTGATGTAAGTCTGTTACTGAACTGTTTTTGATGCTGGACTTTGTTATTGGATTATCCCTGGATTAAAACCTGACTGCTTTAACTGTGAATGACTTGGATTGCTTGTTTGGACTTTGCTTAAACGTTTATTGGAAGTAAAAACCTACATTTTACTATACAGTGTATCTGTGTACTAGTTGTGTGTTATTCTTCACCACTCTCGCTACGTCTCCTTTATGCGCTCATTCTCCTAACGGGGAATTACTTCAACAACAACCCTAGCAAAAACAGTTGTAAAATTCGGCATGACTCCCATAACAGGTGCCTTGCTTATCAATGGAAATTCTGGCCTCAATTGTAGCCATATGTCGAGGACTACTTGTAAAGATAGCCCTAGCAGGTGCTTCTTATCTGGACTACTTTGAAGAGTTAATGACCTCATTTTTAGCAAAAAGCAAAGAAAATAAGAAAGCAAAAAATTAGACGAAGGAAGTCCCAATGGTGCTTTTTCAAGAGGCAATGAACTTTCTTGTTTTTCTTTGAAGATATTTCGCTTCCCATCCAAGAAACTTCTTCAGTTCTGGCTGAGCTATGGAGGATGGAAGGATTTATACAGGTAGTCCTCAACTTACAACAATTGATTTAGTGACCTTCAAAGTTACAACGGCTCTGAAAAAAGTGACTTATGACCATTTTTCATACTTTGCGGCATTCCCTGGTTCATGTTATCAACATTCAGATGCTCGGTAACTGGTTCATACTTATGACTATTGCTGTGTTCTAAGGTCGTGTGATCACCTTTTGCAATCTTTTGACAAGCAAAGTCAATGGGGAAGCCAGATTTACTTAATAGGTTACTAATTTATCAACTATAGTGATTCACTTAACAACTGTAGCAAGAAAGGTCCTAAAATGGGTCAAAACTCACTTAAAATGTTTCACTTAACAACAGAAATTTTGGGTTCAACTATGGTCATAAATAGAAGACTACCATTATTCCTTGCAGTCTTCTGATCGTTAGCACTCTCTCTGAGAATCATTGAGGCCATTTGGGGGTTTATCTGTGCCCTCAGGGTCACTTGAATAGTGCAAATGGTGTGGAACCTTTTTGTTACTACTGAAAGGAGAGGAGATAGGTGGCGTCGTATCCGTCCCACTCTGTTGAGAGAGGGTTTTCAATCTTAATGTAGATGGTCTCTTTGACCCCTCTTTCAAATCAGTGGTCCTCGCTGTCCAGAATGTGGACTTTGCTGTGACCATTGTCTTTCAAATGCAGATGGACTGCAGAATCTGGTCCTGATGGGTTTGTTGTCCTATGTTGTGCCATGCGTTTGTGAAGTGTTCTTTTTTTCTCTCTAATGAACAGATCTGTGCATGTCTCCCTGCACTGTAAGCTCCACCACCCATTTGCACTATTAAGGTGCCCCGAGGGCACAGATAACCCCTGAAATGGTCTCAATGACTCTCAGAGAGAGCACTAATGACCAGATGTGTGCAAGGAATATAAATCCTTCCATCTTCCAGCATTCAGTCAGAACTGAAGAAGCTTCTTGGATGAGAAGTGAAATCTCTTCAAGGAAAAACAAAGTCCAGTTGCCTTTTGAAAATGCATAACCATGTCCTGGATGATTGAGAATCCCCACAGACATTTAGACGAGGAAAGGGCAAGTGAAGACAAGGAATGTATCCACCATCTTTCCCTACCGTGGACTTTGATCTGAGCTGTGCTCTGTTTCTCTCCCGCATCACAAGTATATTTTCCTGCATCCTCAGGTTGTGCGTGGTGAATCAGCAGCTCAGCCACACAACCGTCCTTTTTCATCTCGTACTTCTCGCTCGCTCGAAGGAGAGTCACACCTTTCTTCCATGCCACTTTGACCTCTGGCGTGGCGAGGACGCAGCGCAAAGTGACCGTCTCGCCCTCTTTCTTTTCCACATCCTTAAGCTCTTCCTTAAAAATGGCAGGGGCTGCTACAAGGCACGATCAGGATAAGGGAGGGGGCAAAGTAAGGTTTTGGAGGAAAATTCGTACATGAGCTGATATGGCAACAGGAAGCAAATTGCGTTTGTACATGGTTTTGGCAGCAGCAGAGTGCAATAAATAAATCTTCTAAATAAATAAAGCATCTAGCACTGATAATCTTATCTAATTGGATAATGAGACGTCTGCAAGGAAACAACCAAGTTCAAAAAGTACCAAGGACCTTAGTCCTTCCTCTCCTCCTCCTGCTGTCTATAACCCTCCCTCCATTCTAGCACTGATGATGCCAACTGGGTCATGAGATGTCTGAAAGAAAACAATCAAAGACCAAGGAAATGAGATATAATGAAATGAATGAGATATGAGATGATATGAGATTGAAATATAAAGTATGAGGTATGAGATTGAGAAATGAGATATGAGGTATGTCATAGAGATTTGAGGTATGAGATATGGGATATGGGGTATAAGATTGAGATATAAATAATGAGATATGAGGTATGAAATTGAGATGAGATACAAGTTACGAGACATGAGATATGAGGTATGAGATATAAGATATGAAATATGAGATATAAGATTGAGATATGAATGAGATATGAGGTATGAGGTATATATATGAAACTGAGAGGGGGTACAAAATATGACATGAGGTATGAGGTATGAGATATGACGTCTAAAATTGAGGTGTGAGGTATGAGAGGAGGTATGTGAGATATGAGACTGAGATTTGAGACTGAGATATATGAGGCATGACATATGGGATACTACATGAGGTATAAGATATGAGATTGAGATAGATATGAGATATAAGAGTTGAGATATGAGGTTTGAGATATGAGATATGAGGTATGACATATGAGATGAGATACGAGATACGAGAATCAGGTATCGTGAATGAGATATAAGATTGTGATGTGAGATATGAGATGAACATAAGCAACACTCAGCTGAATTGTACTCATCTAGTCCAGCCCTCGGTCCACCATTGTCCAAGCATTCATCTCAGCCTTTTCATAAAATCAAAAGAGACACTTGAGAAAAACCCTCTTTCTCTCGAGACCCTGAGATTATCCACCCCATTTTTCTCTATCCATCTCTGGGATGGAGAACTTCAGAAGACAATTAAGTCCAAAACCGCTTTCAGTACTGGCCAATGTTAGCAAAGGTCCCCTACCTGTCACTTCCACTCGCGCAGAAGTCTTCAGGTCTCCACTCTTGCAAATATATTCCCCTGCATCCGACGGCTTTGCGTCCCGGATGACGAGCTCGGCCACAGGACCCCTTTGCTTGAATTCATATTTGTCCCCTGCTTCCAGGACTATATTGCCTTTCATCCACTGCACAGGCACATCTGGTTTGTTAAGCTCACAAGTAAGACGGACTTTATTCCCTTCCTGGGCTTCCTTGCTTTGCAGTTCTTGGTTAAAAACTACCGGCAGGCCTAAAATGCAAAAACAAAAAAGATGGAAGAACAGAAAGGAAGAGAAATAAATCATTATCCTTTTTTCTTTAAACTAATCATATTGATGTACAGATAGCCCTTGACTTATAACAGTTCATTTAGTGACTGTTCAAAGTTACAAGAGGACTGAAAAAAGTGACTAAGGACCATTTTTTTACACTTATGACCATTACAACATTCCCAGGATCATGTGATTAAAATTTGGACACTTATGACGGTTGCAGTGTCCCAAGATCATGTGGTCCCTTTTAGTGACTTTCTGATGAGCAAAGTCAATGACCAACTTAATAATAGCAATGATTCACCTAACAACTATGGCCAGAATGGACATAAAATGAGGCAAAACTAACAACTGTCTTGCTTAGCAATGGAAATATGGGGCTCAGTTGTGGTCATATGTCGAGGACCACCTATACTTAATTAGCTACTTCTCTCTGGTTTTATTTCTACACGACTGAAACCAATCCTACCTCACACCACCAATCCTACCTTGCACCACCAGCTTTGCACTGGATTGGCTGTCACCAATGTCACAAGTGTAGATGTCACTATCATTTTCTTTAAGGTCTTTGATGAGGAGTTGCAAGACTGTCCCTTTTTGGCTGATCTCATATTTCTGGCTAGTTTGAAGGTCAAGAATGCCTTTCCTCCATGTCACAGAAGAAGTTGGTTTCTTGGTTTCGCAAGTGAGGGTGGCATTCTTGTTCTCCTCCACCTTCAAGTCCTCAAGATCCTTCACAAAGCAGTTTCCAGCTTCTGGAACAGATGAAATCAAAGATCCCATCAAATTTTAGTAAGAGAAATAAATCCATTTATTTGTTTGCTTATGTATAATAACTACTGGCCATAAGTATGAGTTCAATGTGTGAAATTCAATGAATTACCTTCTTTCCATCCAATTACAAGTCTTCGACTTGCAACCGTTTGTTTAATGACCATTCAAAGTTACAACAGCAGTGGATAAGTGACTTATGACCATTTGTCCGACTTACAATTGCTGCAACTTCCCTATGATCACGTAATTAAAATTCAGACACTTGGCAACTGACTCATACTTATGATGGTTGCAGTGTTGCAGAGTCATGTGATCAACTTTTACAAACTTCTGACAAGCAAAGTCAATGGGAAAATCCAGATTTACTTAACAACCACATCACTAACTCAACAACTGTAATGGTCATAAGTGTGAAAAATGGTCCTAAGTCACTTTTTTTAGTGCCACTGTAACTTTGAATGGACTGTTGTAAGTTGAGGACTACCTGCAGCCCTATAACTGACCTTCCACCGATAGCGTGGCTTTTGTTTTGGAAAATTCAGTCTCGCAGGTATATTCTCCACCATCTTTCATTGTGGTGTCATGGATGATTAAAATCGACCGGGTGCCTTCCTGACGTAGGTCGTATTTTTGACTCCTCCGAATCTCTTTGCCATCCTTCTTCCACTTCAGGTTGTTGTCCCATCTGGATAAGTCACAACTTAGGCTGACTTCACGTCCCACCAAAGTGGACTTGTCCTCCAGCTGTTTTGTGAATTCTGCGGGTTTTTCTATGGAGAACAAAAGATTGGGAAACTAAGTCAGAGAAAAGACACAAGATTTGTGACTGACTGTTGCATGTCTGCAACTATTACAGATAGAAAAACTAAGGCTAGATTTAGACCATGATTATGAAATGGCTGCATGCGTGCAGCCTCATGTTGTAGAAATTATCTCTATTGGCTCTCATGAGTTTTTCTAGGACTTTGTGGGGACTTTAAGTGTTTAGATATGGTAAAGTAACTAGATATGGGAAAATAAAGCAATTACTTATGTATATCTCTGTCTATCTGTCTATCAACTATCTATCCAATAATCCATTCATCCACGTCTCTCTCTCTCTTCCTCTCTTCTTCAGCTATCCAACTATCTAGCTATCCATCTCTCTCTCTCTCTCAAATCTACATCTATTTATCTATTCAATTAGACATCCAATTATCTATCTCTGTATCTCTTTCTATTTTTCTCTATATACCTATTCATCTCTCTGTCTCTCTATCCAATCATCCATCTAACTATTTATCCATCTTTTTAGCTATCTAATTCAGAGAGAAGAGGTAGGAGATAGATTCTCTCTCTCTCTCTCTCTCTCTCTCTTATATATATATATATATATATATATCTTTCTCCTTTCTATATCTCTATATCTATCATCTCTACCATGTCTCTCTCTCCCTCCCTCTCTCCCACCCCCCTCTCTCTCTCACACACATACACACTGATTTGACAAGTTTGTTATTTTTCCTTTAAGAAAATGTTCCTGAAACATGAAATATTTGCAAGGAAATCCCCAAGTTCAGGGAGCCCGCAAGACCCCACCCTGGCTGATGATTTCATGGACTCTCTACTCCATCTGTCTTATTTTAATACAGTCATAGTTCCCTCCCCATTTCATACCTTTCACCGCTAGAGATGCTTTGGATTTTAAATCGCGGACGGAAAAAACTACTTCACCGGCATCGGTAATTAAGGTTTTCTTGATTGTGAGGGTGTATTTCCTTCCTTTGTTGAAGGCTCGGAATCGGGCATCATGGCTGACTTCATTCCCATTGATTAGCCACTGACAACCATCCAGACTCTCATGTGAGAGGACACATTCGAAGCTACAACCCTCTCCTTCCTGCACTTCAACACTTTTTAGACGCTTTGTGATGCCGATATTTAGCTCTGTGGTGAAATAAGAAGTAGGTTAAATCAAAATAATTACCAGAAATCCTTGACTTACAACAGTTTATCTAGTGACCATTCAAAGTTACAACTGCACTGAAAAAAGTGACACGGCTGTTTTTCACATTTATAACTGTTGCAGCATCCTTGTGATCATGTGATCAAAATTCTAACACTTCCAAATGACTCATAGTTATGGCGGTTGCAATGTCCCAGGGACATGGGATCCCCTTTTACGACCTTCTGACAAGCCAAGTCAATGGGGAAGCCAGATTCACTTAATAACCATGTGACTAACTTAATTCACTTAACAAATGTCTATCTTAGCAACACAAATTTTGGTCTCAATTGTAGTCATAAGTTGAGGACTAACTTAAATTTAAAAACCCATTAAAATGATTAAAATAAAACAGCATTAGCTGATTCTTGAGACCCTCAATCAATTGGAGAGTTCTCAGGTTACAACTGTCAATAAGCACTGAGTCATTGTCGTGATAATGATAAAGCAGCTACCATAGAAGCATGACTGATTTGATAACCTTGTCTTGCCTCCTGGTGCTTTGGAAAATATATTGACTCCCTCTTCTTTGTGGCAGCCTCTCAAATATTGGAAGACTGCTCTCATATCACCCCTAGTCCTTCTTTTCCTTAAACTAGACATACCCAATTCCAACAATCGTTTTTTGTATGTTTTAGCCTCCAGCCCGCTAATCATCTTTGTCACTCTTCTCTGCACACTTTCCAGAGTCTCAGCATATTTTTATATCATAGCAACCAAAACTGGATGTAATATTCTATGTGTGGTCTTTGTAGAGTCTCAACACCTCTTTCTAGTGTCTCAACAATCTTTCTAGAGTCTCAACACCTCTTTCATATCATGGTGATCAAACACTGTGGACATCCCTATGAGGGCAAGACCTCTCCCACACAATGCCCTACAGTTGTGTCACTGGATCCTTATCCTACAATCGTGGAACTCCAAGAGATCTGGAAGCCCACAACTGTAAAAAAAAATGAAGAATGATGCTCTCCTGACTCATTCTGGGTTTCCCAATTATGAGTACCTTGAATGATGACTTTAGACTTGGCGATGTCCATCCCAAGGTCACACGTGTACCATCCAGCATCATCCTTGCCGAGATCTCGGATGGTGAGTCCCAGGGTTTTCCCAGATTGCAGCATCTCATATTTATCTCCTGGGGTTAGTTCCACCCCTTCCTTCTTCCACACCGGTTTCACTTTTGATTTTGAGACTTCACACTCCAGTGTGATAGTGCTTCGTTCCTCAGCAACCACGTCATCCAGAGATTTCATGAAAACGGCTGGCTTCTCTGCAGAAGATGGCGACAAAGGTGTATTTAGAAGCCATACTGTTGGTCAGGCTAACATAAGTAATCTTGATCAATGTTCCTCTGTTGAATTGTATGAACTGGGAGATAATTCACACAATTCTACAGAGTGTGCAAAGACAGTGTCAGAGGTAACAGAGATAACAATAAGTCTTTAAAAGGAAATTGCTTTCACCACTCTGAAAATTAAAATAACTTCTTAAAATAAAGTTTGCCATAACTGCTTATGTTCACTAACAAGAGGAAGTGATAAGGATATTTTAGTACAAGTTGTCCTTGACTTACAACCACAATTGAGCCCTAAATTCCCATTGTTAAGTGAGACATTTGTTAAGTGAATTTTGCCCATTTTACAACCTTCCCTGCCACAGTTGTTAAGTGAATCACTGCAGTTGTTTAGTTAATCACATGATGGACAATCTCGCTGACCATTGACTTTGCTCGTCAGAAAGTCTCAAAATAAAGGGACTTATAAATAAAGGGACTTATGAATGTTATTCACACTTACAACCATTGCAGCATCTCCACAGTCACATGATCAAAATTCAGATGCTTGGCAGACGACTTATATTGATGACGGTTACAGTGTCCCGGGGTCACGTGATTCCCTTTTGCGACCTTCTGACAAGCAAAGTCAATGGGGAAGCCGGATTTGCTTAACAGCCATGTTAACAAATGCAGTGATTCTCTTATCAACTGTGGCAAGAAAGGTGGCAAAATGGGGCAAAACTCATTTAACAAATGTTTCACTTAGCTACAGAAGTTTGGAGCTCAGTTGTGGTCATAAGTTGAGGACTACCTGTAGGATATATACTGCAGATCAGCATATCTACAGAAGCATTTGGTCTCATGAACACACACACACACAAAGTGAGTTTAATAATAGGCCATCCAGAGGATCTGAAATTTTTAGTTCTTCAGAACATTTCTAGATAGGGAAGAAGATAAGGAAAAAAATTGAGCATGGGAAAGGAGCAGCAGTGCGATGGGCCTGAAGCAGAGATTACAACCAAGATTATCACTAGACCAACAACCAAACCATAAACAACCACCCCGTCAAGGAACTACGGACTCTAGAGGAGATGTCCAGGGAACACATCTAATAAATAAACAAATAAATGCAGACAAAGAGTAAACAACAGCCCAATCAAGGAACTAACCTAATTGGGTTATGAAACATCTCAAGAAAACAATCAAGTTCAGAGAGCACCAAGGACCCCACCTGCCTGAAGCTCTCCCATGGCTTCAAGGTGTGCCCATGGATTTCATCTGCCAAGATGGAAGAAGGATATCTCAAGGCCACTGACTAAACTGCCTCCTCAGACCTCAAAAACCCTGGAAGAAACTCACCTTTCACCTTCAGCCGGGTGCTCTCAGAGGTTTTCTTCTGAACTTTGATGGTCACTGTCCCACTGTCTTCTGGTGTGACATGCTTCAGCGTCAGGCTGTGGGACTTGCCCAAATGCTTTATCTCATTGAAGTTGTTGGGGAAGAGGTGGGTGTCATTGAGGAACCATTCAACATCCTCACAATCTTCAGACAACTCACAGGAGAAGGTGGCCAAGCTCTCTTCATCAACCTCCACATCCTGCAGATGTTTGGTGATCTCCACTTTGCGTTCTATGGCAAGGAAGGAGAAGTCAAGAGGACATTGCTCCATTCCGTACATAGCTTGGTCGCTGCTTCCACACGTTGTAACACACATAGAGCCAGTTTGGTCTCATGGTTAAGGTACCAGGCTAAAAAGCAGGAGACCATGAGTTCAAGTTCCAGCTTAGCCATGAAAGCCAGCTAGCTGACTTTGGGACAATTAGTCCCACCTTAATCTCGAAAGCCGGCTGGGGGACTTTGAGCCAATCACCACGAGATGATGAGTTCTAGTCCTGCCTTAGGCATGAAATCCAGCTGGGAGACTTGGACCAATCACCAAAAAATGGTAAGATCTAATCCCGCTTTAGATACCAAAGCCAGCTGGATGATTTTGGAACAATCACCAAGAGACTGAGAGTCTAGTCCCACTTTAGACATGAAGCCAGCTGGGTGACTTTGTGCCAATCACTGGGGAAAGTGAGTTCTAGTCCCTCTTTAGGAATGAAAGCCAGCTAGGGCCAATCTCCAGGAGACAGTGAATTCTAGTCCACCCCTTTTGGCCTCCTACATAAGGTAAATCCTGAAAGGATCCTGAAATCCTATCCCATCAACCTACCCAAAATGGTCAACGTGGCTTTCGTCTCTGCGCTTCCGGCTTTGCATCGGTAGACACCTGAATCCCCGACAGTCAATCTCAGGATTTTGAGCTCTGCTGTGAACTTCTCCCTCTTCATCTTAAATTTCTCAGAAGGTTCCAGCAATGTGTGGTTCCTGTACCACTCAACCTCTTTTGGGGATGGCTTGAAGTCACAAGAGAGGACCACCGAATGCGTTTCCAGGACTGTCCTGTCTTCTAGAGGTCTGGTGAAGATCACCGGAATATCTACAGAGACAAGATGAAGAAGGTCACCTTTGAAACCAAGAGGACTCATGCAAAGACTGAATTAAATTGTGACACATTCTCCTCCAACTAGAATCGTTGTGGTTCCTCAAAAGCTACATAATTTTATGAACTCGGTACCTCCAAACATTTTCCAATCACAATTCCCAGAATTTTACCCAGTTTGAGGTCATGCAGGCTCATAATCTGAGAAATTATTGCCCAATTTGTGTGGTTGTATCCCTTCTCTACAACAGTTGTGTTGCAAAATTTTGGACTGGATTTCTTTTATATCATTTTCCTTTGCTACCCCCATGGTTTCAAAAAGATGCCTCTTCCAAATCTAGAAAAACCCTTGAAATTATCCAAAGGGGTTACCATCACTAATACTTTCCAGTTTGCTCAAACAAATAAGGCAGCTACCAAAATTTTGATGCTGTTTCATTATTGAATCTTTGGCCAAATCAAATCTGAATTGAGTCTATTGATTCTATTTATACAAGAGAATCTTTGTAGCTAAGAGTTAAACTATAGGTTCCTTGCAGGGATGGGATTCTACCAGTTCACACCTATTCTCTAGAACCGGCTGTTAACATTCTAAGCAGTTTGGAGAACCGGTTGTTAGAAGAAATTCCTGGCCTAATCCTGTAAGGAAGGCAGGAAAGAAACATTCTGGTGTTGCTTACAGAAACTGCCTCTCCGTTAACCCTTATTACGTTCTTGGCAGGACAAGACTTCCTGTCTCAGAAACTTCTCTGGAGTTTTTCCCCCCTCCTTTGCTGGTGACCGTTCAAAGTTACAATGGCACTGAAAAAAGTGACTTATGACCATTTTTCACACTTACGACTGTTGCAGCATCCCCACAGTCATGAGAGCCCAGGCGAGGAGATGCGTGCCTAGATATGAGTGATATTGAGTTGGCCACGCCCATCCAATAACATGATCACCAAGCCATGTCCACTCAGTCACATGACCACCAAGCCATGCCCATCAACTAAGCCACGCCCACAGAACCGGTTGTTAAAAAATTTGAATCCCACCCCTGGTTCCTTGGTGTAACTGGACTAGAAGACCTTCACGGTCATTTCCAACTGTATTACAGATAGCCCTTGACTTACAACAGTTCATTTAGTGACCATTCAAAGTTACAATGGCACTGAAAAAAGTGACTTAGGACCATTTTTCACACTTATGATCATTGCAGCATCCTCATGGTAACGTGATCAAAATTCAGACAACCTGGCAACTGACTCGTATTTATGATGGCTGAAATGTCCTGGGTCACGTGATCATTTTTTGTGACCTTCTGACAAGCAAAGTCAGAAGGGGGAAGCCAGGTTAACTTAACAACCACATTACTAACTTAACAACTACAGTGATTCTCTTAACAACTGTGGTAAGAAAAGTAAACAAATGGGACAAAATTCATTTAATAAATGATTCACTTAGCAAGAGAAGTTTTGGGGTGAATTTTGGCCATGTTGAGGGTTACCTGTATTCTATTTTGTTCTGTTTTAATATTCTATTCTATTCTGTTATGTTCCATTTCATTCTATTTTATAAACTCTGCTCTATTCTGTTCTTTCTATATTTTATTCTCTCCTCTCACATTCTACCCCACCCCATCCCAATCCATCCCATCCTGTTACATCACGTCATGTCACATTGCATCCCATCCCACCCCACTCCACTCCATTCCACCCTACCCCACTCCATTCCATTCCACCTCTCTCACCCACTCTACTCCATCCCATTCCATTCAAAATAAGCATCCAGGTCCAACCCCTGTCACCACCCACAAAGTCTTCCGTGACTGTTTTAAACTTGGTAGGACTTCTACCTTACCTTTGACCACCAGATCAGCCAAGGATTTGGACTTTCCAATGGCAAATTGGATGGTGCCTGTCATATCCACATTGGTTTTCCTCAAGATCAGCCGATGGATTTTCCCCTCTTGCTCTATGATGACATTTGGGCCCTTCTGTAGCACTTCCCCACGGAGAGACCATTTGGGGGGCTTCACGGAATGGACGGAGATTTCGCACTCAAAGCGGGCTTCAGCTGGTTCCATTACCTCCACGTCTCTCAGCTCCTTCACGATGTTGATGGTTTGTTCTGAAGAGAAATAATGGAAGACAAAGTTGATTGCTTGGTCATCGCTAGTGGAGCTTGGGGACTTGGAAATCCCCAAGTTTTTCAAGTCATCAGTGTTGAAACAAAAAGAGCTTTCTAAGATACCAGTAGTCCTCGACTTACAATCATTCATTTAGTGACAGTTTGAAGTTACAATGGTACTGAAAAAAGTGCCTTGTGACCATTTTTTTACACTTAGGACCATTGCAGTATCCTCATGGTCACATGAGCAAAATTCAGATGTTTGGCAACTGACTCATATTTATGACAGTTGCAATGTCCTGGGATTGTGGGATCACTTTTTGCGAACTTCTGGCAAGCAAAACCAATGGAGAAGCCAGATTCACTTAACAATCATGGGACTAACTTAACGACTGCAGTGATTCACTTAACAACTACGTTTCCCCAGAAAAAAAAAAGCTTACCCCCAAAATAAGCCCTAAGTTGATTTTACAAATGTGCCCAATATAAATTCTACCCCCCAAAATAATCCCCAATTAAGACCCTGCCCACTCTGGGGTGCATGACATAGAGAGAGGTGTACAGGTAAAAATTAAGTTGGGGAGGATGGGAGGTGGAGCTGCCCTACTACTTACCTTACCTGCAGCCAGGCCTCGCACACCCCAACACCTGTCTTGCCGGCCCATTTTTTCTGCAGCCAGCAAGGTCAGCAAGGCTTTCCTAAGGACCTCTGCAGCCGATAACAGAGCTCCAGATCAATCTGGAGCTCTGTTAAGGACTGTAGCAGCCTTTAGGAAAGTCTTGTCAGCTGCAGAAGATCCTGAAGGCCTCTGACAGCAAAAAGGAGGCCGGGGACAATGCATGCAAGTGAGATGATTCAGTGAAAGACATCTCCCCCGAAAGTAAGACCTGGTGCCTTTCTTGGTGGATATATGTGTGTGTGTGTGTGTGTGTGTGTGTGTGTATATATACACACACACACACACACACACACACACACACACATTTTCTTAAGTTTTCGCGGGTACTTACATGTATGGTATTCAACTTTGTTCGGGTATTTTCCCACGTCATTATAGTTGTGCTTTTAAAGTTGTAGCAACGTTTCGGCAGAATCTCATCCGCCATCATCAGGCTTCTCTATTGTGTTCATCTGACTCACAACTTTAAAAGCACAACTATAATGACGTGGGAATATATATACACACACACACACACACACACCAAGAAAGGTATATACATACATACATACATACATACATACATACATACATACATACATACATACACACACACATATATATGCTTTCTTATGTTTTCATGGGTATTTATATGTATGGTATTTAGGTTTCTTCGGGTATTTTCCCACGTCTTAATATTTGTGCTTTTATTATAGCGACGTTTCGGCAGAATCTCATCTGCCATCCTCAGGCTTCTGTATTGGGTTCTTTTTAATCTTGTGTGTCAGGCTTAGCAGCCATTTTTTGTTTGAATTTGGTGCTGGATTTTTGCTTTATTTGAATGATATTTTCCTCATCTTGATTGGCTGGGAGTCTAGGTCTGTTTTTATCGGTCTTCGAGTTGCTGTGTTCTTGATTGGTTGGCAACATTGTGTTTTGTGCATTGGGGTTTCTTAGTGCAGCTTGGTTTCTTGTGAATGGCCGATAATTATTTATTAGGAAGCTAGGTTTTATTTGGGTAGCTGGCTGGGGCGTGTTTGGACTGGAGGTATTAGGAGGGGTTGTTTGTGTCCAGGTGCTTGCCTGGATTATGGTATAGAGATTTTTTTGTTTGTGAGTGCAGGCTTCCAGATGATTGATAGTCTGGTGGAGTCATCTCTTCTATTCATACTATTAGGTCTTTTATCAATCTCTATGGCTTCTCTGATGATTCTGTAGCCGGGGTTTTCTATAGTAGCTAGGGTTTTGGTGCCACTGAAGTCGATGCTATGACCTGTGGCTTTCATAGTCCAACATATGTACCTTCTACGTAGAACTGAGCACTGCTCTTATCATCCACGGCATTGCAGGTGTAAATCCCCTCATCCTCAAACTCGGTCTCATTGATGATAAGTTTCCGGTAGGTCCCATCGCTCACCATCTCATACTTCTGGCTGGGATGGAGTTCTTGGTCCCCCTTGAACCACTTAACGATGGCATTTGGACGAGAAACTTGGCATTCCATAAAACCTCGGTGTCTTTCTATGGCTATCTTCACCCGTAGGGGTTTAATTATCTTGACTGGTAGTTCTGAAGGAAGAGAACAGAAGAAGGTCATTGATGTAACTTTGCAGAGAATTCAATGTGGATAAAACAGATAGTTCTCTCATTCATTTAATGATTGTTATAAGTTACAACGGCACTGAAAAAAGTGACTTATGACCATTTTTATGAGCCACGGTGGTGCAGTGATTAGACTGCAGTACTACTGACTGCTGGCTGCCTGCAAAAAGGCAGTTCAAATCTCACCAGGCTGGAGGTTGACTCAGCCTTCCATCCTTCCGAGGTCGGTGAAATGAGGACCCAGATTGTTGGGGCCAAGAGGCTGACTCTGTAAACTGCTTAGAGAGGGCTGGAAAGCACTGTGATGCGGTATATAAGTCTAAGTGTTATTGTTGTTGCTATTTTTCACATTTACAACCATCGCAACATCGCCATGATCATGTGATTCAGATGCTTGGCAACTGACACATATTTATGATAGTTGCACGGAGTCACGTGATCCCCTCTTGCGACCTTCTACAAGCAAATTCAATGGGAAATACAGATTCTCTTAACAACTGTGTAAGAAAGTTCGTAAAATGTGATAGCAACTGTCTTGCTCTACAACAGAAATTTGGGGCTCAATTGTGGTCGTAAGGCAAGGACTATCTGTAGCTAGTTTGAAAATACACTTTTTGAAAAAAAATCACTGAATTATGAAGTCACTCCTTACCTTTGACTTTAAGTTGAGCTTGAGATTGTGCAGCTTCGGCCACAAATTTTATTTCTGCGGAATCCTGCAACTCCACACTGCGGTAAACCAGTGTGTGACTTTTCCCTGCACACAAAAAGACAGTCTCCAAGTTATAGGTCATCCATGATTCATCCATAAAACAAGTAAAAGTCATCTACATTAAGACAAAAGCTTGCCACTCACTTTGGCAGAACCTTCTCCCCATTTAAGGAACTGCCAAGATTACAGAATAAACAGAGTTGGAAGGGACCTTGAAGGTCTTATTGTACAAACAATCGAGCAGAAAACAATAATACCCTGATCAAGAAACTACCAAGAAAAAAAACCCTACACCTGACCAACACTGTTCTTTTTATTTACAGCAAGCAGCTGTAGGTAAAAAGAGAGCAAACTCCACACTCCCTCACATGGATTGACGTTACCTAGTGGACTCATGCAATGTCTGCAAACAAACAACCAAGCTCAGAAACCACCACTTTTCAATTCTCTTCTTCCTACCTTCTTGACGTAATTTGATGTTCTCTCCAGCCCGGATTTTGTTTTTGTTACTGAACCACTGGGTTTGGACATCATCATGCGAAATCTCGCAAAGGAAAGAAGCACTTTCTTTTTCGCTCACTTCAACATCTTCCAATGGTTTTATAATCTTGATGTCCCGGGCTAAGGAATCAAAATGAAACAGTTTTTTATGAAGGTTATGGAGTTTGTGTTCCTTGCAATCATTAATGTGCATTGGGGAATTATTCACAGTTTTATTTTATATATTAGTAGAAAAAAATTCCTGGTGGAATAGTAAGATGTGGATCTTGAGGTTTAGTTAGATGGCCACCAGGAAGGACAGATAAATTGTTACGTTTATGTTTGAATATGGACTTATTATATCACTACAAGTAGTCCTCAACTTATGACCACATTTGAGCCCAAAATTTCTATTTCTAACTGAGGCAGCTGTTAAATGAGTTGCACCTCTTTTTATGACATTTTTGCCACAGTTGTTGAGTGAAACTATAATTGTTAAGTGAATCATATAATCGTTAAATGAATCCAGCTTCCCTCATTGACTTTGCTTGTCAAAAACAAGCTGGAAAGCTGATTCATTTAACAACAATGGCAAGATTGTAAAATCAGGCACAGCTCATTTAACAACCACCATATTTAGCAATGGAATTATGTTCCCAATTGTGGTCATAAGTCAAGGACTACCTGTATTCACTGATTGCTTCAAGAAATGTTGGAATGGAACAGGCTTTTAAAAAGCAGAGATATATTGGAGATATAAAGTATAAGGAATACTTTAATAATATATAATTATAGTAATTATAATTGAAATGGAAACGTTCCTGTATCTGATCTACACTTCTTCACTTATATTAGACCCAACTTTCTACTACAAGTAGTCCTTGACTTATGATCACAACTGAGCCCCAAATTTCTGTTGCTCAGCCTCAGAGAGATAATTGTTAAGAGAGTTTTGTTCCATTTTACAACCTTTCTTGCCAGTTGTTAAGTGAAATCACTGCCGTTCTTAAGTTAGTAACATGGCTGTGAAGTGAATCTGGCTTCCCCATTGACTGTGCTTGTCAGAAGATTGCCAAAAGGACCTTGAGCTTGTTTGGAGGTTCTCGCAGAGGAGCGTAGCTATCGTATACCCTTGACCAAAGATTGGTACACTCCTATCTGGGATGGTCATCCTCTTCCACTGAGCGTGCAGCTTCAGGAGCACGCACATGGAGCGATGAGGGAGAAAGGGGACACCCGCCTAGCCAGCCAGATCAGCCGAATCAACCCTGGTGATCAATGGAGTGACAGATGTCACAGCCAGATCGCCCTCACAATTGGAAATTATAGACCAATATCTCTCCTAAATGTGGATTACAAAATTTTTGTAACTATAATAGCTGATAGACTTTTAAAAAATTTAAATGAATTTATCCACACAGATCAGAATGGATTTCTTCCACATCGACATCTTAAAAATAATATAAAGACAATTCTGGACATTATCGAATATTATGAAGATCATAGTGGTGATCAGGTGGCATTATTGTTTTTAGACGCTAAGAATGCATTTGATAACGTAAAATGGAATTTTATTTTGCAACAAATTAGGTACATGGACTCTGGATAAAAAATATTTAAACGTGATTTTGGCACTATATAATAAACAAGAAACTAAAATTTTGGTGAATGGGGAAATAACAAATAAATTTGAAATACAAAAAGGGACAAGGCAGGGATGTCCAATTTCCCCACTTTTGTTTATTTTGACTCTAGAAGTGTTAACGAGAATAATCAGAAAAGATAAAAGGATTAAAAGTAAATTGCAAGCCTTTGCTGACGATTTAGTTTTTATTTTAGAAGATCCACAAATTTCAGGACCAAAACTCATAGAAAACTTAGAAGAATTTGGAAAAGTTGCGGGGCTAAAAATGAATAGGGAAAAAACAAAAATAATTACAAAAAATATGACAAATAAACAAAAGGAAACACTAACTAGGATAATGGACATCCAGATAACAAATAAAGTAAAATACTTGGGGATTATGATTTCTGCAAGATGTACAATAGTTAAAGATGAGAATTATACCCCACTGATTAAACGAATAGCAAAAGATTTGGAAAAATGGGACAAATTAAGATTATCTTTTATCAGCAGAATAGCAATCATAAAAATGAATATATTACCAAAATTATTGTTTCTCTTCCAAAATGCCCCCATAAAATTAGAAAAAAAATCTTTGATGATTTGGATAAATTAATATTGAAATTTATATGGCAAAAAAAACAACAACCCTAGAATTAAATTAAAATTGCTGCAAGATACCACAGAAAGGGATGATTTTGGCTTGCCTGGTTGGGAAATGTATTATAGAGCTGCAATTCCGACATGGGTAAAAGATTGGATAAATCTCAAGAACAAAAGAATGTTGGCTTTAGAAGATTATAATTTACAGGTAGGATGGCACATTTTTCCATGGCAGGACAAACAAGAGGTTCATAGATATTTCCAAAGACACAAAATTAGGAAGACTTGATAACCACATGGAACAAAATGAAACGACAAATATATGGCTATCCACATTGGAAGTTTTGATGTACCCACATTTGTTCCTCAAAGGGAAAATTATTACTTATGATGATATTATAAATAAGAGAGGAGAATTAAAATCGAGGCAAGACCTGAAAGACCAAGGAGTGGATATAGAATGGTGGGCTTACTTACAACTCCAATCGAGGTATGCAAAAGACATGAAAGAATGGGGAATTAGTAGGAGTAAAGCATAATTGGATGAAACTTTATTGGGAACAGATGAGAAATTGATGAAGAAAATGTATAAAGTGTTATTGGAATGTAAACTAGAAGAAGAAAAAGAAAAAGAAACAATGTTGGCATGGATGAAAGACTTTGGGCATAGTATAAACTTGGATAAATGGCAAATCTTATGGTATCAAAACAAAAAAATAACTTTGGCTACGTCGTTTAAAGAAAACTTATATAAAATGTTTTATAGATGGAATAATCCACCATCAAAATTGGCTAAAATGTACCCAAATCTATTCCCTATATGTGGGAAGTGTAATATGGAAAATGGAATGTATTGTCATCTATGGTGGAACTGTAAGAAAGCCCAAATGTTCTAGCAGAAAATCCAGAAATGGTTAGAAGAGATGTGTGAAATTAAAATAGAATATAAACCCGAATCTTTCTTGTTGGGAATTAATGTGGGAAAATACAACAAAGATATAATATATTTAATAATCCGTGTAATCACAGCTGCAAGATTAGTTTATGCCCAAAAATGGAAACTCCGAAATAGAAATAATTAGGAAAATTTGGAATTGCACAGAAATGGATAAATTGACACAAGAATTAAAAAATAAGGATGATTCTGATTATTACAAGATATGCGGAAAGTTTTATCACTGGTTAGAATCTAGGAAGGATCAAAAAAATATAAAAATGATTAATGTTTATGTATATAAACATTTATATACATTTTGTATATAAAATGTAAATATATATTATTCTTTATATGAATTAGTGATGTAAGAAAACTAGAGATATCAGGATGATTGCACCACGTCCACCACGTGCACCATTGTTTTTAAATGTCTTTTTCTTTTTTGTGTGTGTTTGTTCAATAAAATTTAAAAATTAATAAAAAGATTGCCAAAGGGGATCACATGATCTCAAGACACGGCAACTATCATAAAATGTAAGTCAGTTACCAAGCATCTGAATTTCAATCATGTGATCATGGGGATGCTGCAATGGTCAGAAGTGTGAACAACGGTCATAAGTCACTTTTTTCAGTTCTACTGTACCTTTGAATTGTCACTAAGTGAATGGTTGTAAATCAAGGACTACCTGAATAATGAAACAAACATCTATATCCTGGCACTGTATATAAATAGCTAGCATATCTTGGATAAATATTTTCACATTGATACAAAGCCCAGTGCTTATCAGAACAACAAACAGATGTAATTTATCCTGATTGTTCACAAAGAAGGCGACTTTCTCCATTCTGTATTGACAAAATATAAATAAATGGAGAATTTTGCTTCCTTAAATTACATGTATTTATTTGATTCTTAGTCTGACTTTATTACTTCCTAAGTAACTCAAGGCAGCAAGCATACTTGATACTCCTTTTTCCTCCTCTTTTCTTCTGTGAGGTGGGTTGGGCTGGGAGAAAAAGACTGGCCCAAAGTCACCCAGCTGGCTTTTGTACCAAAGGTGGAACTAGAACACACAATCTGCTAGTGGTCGGCCCAACTAGCTTTTGTGCCTAAGGTGGGCACTGGGTCTGTGTGTCTAAGGAATTCTACTGTGATTTAATATTCTATTATATTAACTACTGTTAATCACAGCTCATAAATTCTTGTTCCTTGGATGAGATTCCAAGAAAGGAAACCTGACTTCAACAAATTTAGGGATTTAGGGAGGGCATTTGTACCATAGATCTCCAAAACAGCTGAGCTCTTATCATCTACCGCATCACACATGTATGTTCCTTGGTCTTCGTATTCGCATGTATGAATGATGATGCTTCTCTTTGTTCCTCTAGAAGCGATGACCATCTTTTTACTTGGCCGGATCTCCACTCCATTCTAAAATCAAGAAGTCCACAGAGGAATTTATTGACAGAAAAGTTTTGAGATAGTTCCTGAGATCCAGGTAGTCCTCGACTTATGACCACAATTGAGCGCAAAATTTCTATGGCTAAGTGAGATACAGTTAAATTAGTTTTGTTCCATTGTACAGCTTTCCTTGCCACAGTTGTTAAGAGAATCACCACAGTGGTTAAGTTATCAACAGAGTTGTTAAGTGAATCTGGCTTCTCCATTGACTTTGCCTTTCAGAAAGTTGCAAAAGAGGATTACGTGACCCCAGGATATTGCAACTATCATAAATATGAGTCAGTTGTCAAGTGTCTGAATTATGATTATGTGGCATGGGGATGCTGCAAAAGTTGTAAGTGTTAAAAATGGTTATAAGTGCCCTTGCAACTTTGAACAGTCACTAAATTGGCCCCCACTCTAACACTCTTCTGGAAGGTGCTGAGGGACATGATTCTGCCAGTGGACCTGGGGATCCCAGAGCTGGATAGAGACCATTAAATGCTTGTATAAATATGTGCTGTCACCAGGATGGGGGTATGTAGGGAGCTACTATTTCATTAATTTATTATTTTTTATTATTTTATTATTTTCTTTTATTATTTTTATTTTTATATGATGTTTTTATATTTGTGTAAGCTGCCTTGAGTCACCATGGCGAATAGGCGGCAATATAAATTTTCTAATATAAATAAATGAACTGTTGTAAGTCAAGGAGATGCAATCTTACAAGACAGAGGTTCAAGCAACTTCACTCATTGAAGTGAAGTCCACAGCTTATATTTAATAAATTCAATACCTTACGCCACTTCACTTCCACGTTGGCCCTGGAAAGTTCGCACTCGAGGGTTACGTCATCCTTGTTCTGAACTTTGAGATCTTTTAAAGGTGTGATGATTTTCACAGGGGATTCTGCCAAGGAGAAATAACATGTAAGCAATTGAAATGTTAGCCATATATCAAGATAAATTTCTTAGCCTGGTCTAGCACTGGCCAAAATAGCATCAGACACAAAGATAAATTAATATATTTTACTTGTGCATTAAGTAGAACATAGGTCTCTCCCTGATATAGGTCTTCTCTCCCTAAGTGAGAAGACACTTAGAAAAGAGAGAAAACACATTACAGCTAGTCCTCAACTAACAATAATTTGTTTAGTGGTTTTTCAAAGTTACAATGCACTGAAAAAGGAACCCGTGGCTGTTTTTTACACTTATGACTGTTGTAGCATTCCCATGCTTATGTGATCATAATTCGTGATTCAATAAGGTAACATCATCAGTGTTAGAAGGGAGGGGGTTGGGAGAAGGAAGGAGGAGGAGGAGGGGGGTCCTTGGTGCTCTCTGAACTTGGTGGTTTTCTTGCAGACATTTCATGACCCACCTAGGTAAAATCATCACAAGGGAGTGAGATTTGCTCTCATTTTATATACTAGTCACTGCCGCGTTTATGGAAGTGTCCTTGGTAGTTCCTTGTTTAGGCTGTTCTTTACTGTGTTAGTAGTTCCTGTTTGGATATTATTTACTGCTGGGTGTTAAATTCTGCTTATCTGGGAGTCACGTTAGCTTGTCAGGAGATGTGATCTTTCAGCTTTTTGACTGTCTGTTTTAAATAGTGTGTGGATGTTTATCTCTATGTGTCTGTTGATGGCTGATTTGTCTGAATGTCAGGTTTCCAAGAAATTCTCTGGCTATGGGGTTGAGGACTGCTTGTAATTTAAACGAGGTTACCTTTCACATTAAGCCTGCTGGTGGTGTGAATCCCTTCGGCCTTGAAGGAAATAAGAGCTGAATCTTCCAATGTCAGGGACGAGAGGGTCAGTGAGTGCTTCTTCCCTTGGACAGATATCTGGCAGTTGTCCTGAGACTTGAGACGGAGACCATCCTTCATCCAAACTGCTTCCACATCTTCATGGGACAGTTCCACCTCAAAAGTGACTGATTCTTTCTCATGAACATCTGTCGGTTGCAGGCCTTTGATCAGTTTGATGGGTCTCACTAGGAAATGGAACAAGATGGATGAGACACATTCAGGTCAAAAGTCTCATATATATCACTCTTCAATTGAGAGGAACATAGGATCTCCTGCTCCTCACCGTGAAGCCAACCAAATTTGCATGCCATTTGACCTCATTTGAAAACCACAGTTGTCCCCATCATCAATGCTAGAAGAGTTAGCTCTCTATCTATACTCATTCATTTATGCCTTGATTCATTCATTGATTCATTCATTCTCTATGGAATTGGTGCTTTCTAAGTTTGGCTATTTTCTCACAGATGTCTCATGACCCAACTAGGTAATATCATCAATTCTAGATCTAGCAGGAAAACCATCCAGCTCAGAGAATGCCAAGAATTTCCCAACCATGAAAATTATAAAATGGTGGAACAACTTTCCTCCTGAAATCCTGGGGTTCCACCCCTAAAGGTTTCCAAGCAAATTTGGACAACTGTTGATCTGGGATGGTCCAAGTCTTCCTGGCCTAGTCTAGAAGCTCTCCACTGTCCCCTCCAACCTTCTACAATTCTCACAAGGGTTGCATTCCTCAGAATTGGCCCCAAGAGAGGACTTACTGTCTACAGTGACCTTGGCTTGCGTCTTATCATGGAGGGTCTCGCAGGAATAAAATCCACGATCGTCACAGGATGCGCTCCTGATCACCAAGCAGTGCTTTGTTCCCTGGGCCTGGATCTCCAGATTGGCCGTTGGGTGAAGGATAGTCGCGTTCTTTGTCCACTTTACCTCTGGGGTTGGCTTAGATAGCTCAACTTCGAGGACAATCATCTGCTTCTCTTCTACAACTTTGGCCTCCAACTTCTTCACGAATAACACTGGCGCTTCTGATTATGAGAAAGACCAAAAGCATCAGATAGATCAAAACCACAACAGATACAGGTAGTCCTCAACTTAAGACCATTCGTTTATCCATCATTCCTAGTTAAAACAGCACTGAAAAAAGTGACTTAAGACCAATCCTCATACTTACAACCATCACAACTTTCCCACAGTGATTTGATCAAAATTTGGATGATTGGCAACCAGCATGTACAAGTAGTCCTGACTTCCAACCATTCATTTAATGTTCAAAATTACTATGGTAGGGAAAAAATGACTTATGAGTGTTTTTCACACTTACAACCATTGCAGCATTTTCATAGTCAGGTGATCAAAATTCAGATATTTTGGAAATGGTTTACATTTATGACAATTACAGTATCCTGCGATCAAGTGATCTGCTTTTGCGACCCTCTGCAAACAAAGTCAATGGGGAAGCCAGATTCACTTAATAACCATGTTACTAACTTAACAACTGCAGTGATTCAACTGAACAACTGTGGCAAGAAAGGTTGTAAAATGGTGCTAAAATCACTAAACAACTGTCTCACTTGGCAACAGAAATTTTGGGCTCAACTTTGGTCGTAGGTCGAGGATTACCTATTTTGATGACAGCTGCAGTGTTCCAGTATCACACGATCACCATTTTCAACCTTCCCAATAAACTTCCATCCGGCAAAGTCTATGAGGGAAGTCGGATTTGTTTAACAACCTCATGATTCACTTAATGGTCGCAGTGATTTGCTTAACATCCATGATATAAAAAAAATGCAAAAAAAAAAAACGTGCCATGATTTGCTTAACAAGTGCTTTGTTTAGCAATGAAAATCCTGGTCCCAATTTATGGTTATAAGTCAAGGACTACCTGTATTTAAAATGGAGAAAACTTTCACCCAGCATTCATATTTTCTTCAACTGGGGAAGCCTTTAAAACGTACCGTTTGTTCTACCATCTTATTCTGGGTAATAGATGGTGGTCCAACACCAAAGAATGTTTCTATCTAGCCAATCAGGATTTTAAGCTTTTCCTCACATGAAAACATACTTTGCAAGCACTATAGAGTGATCACTGTTTCTAAGATCTCATCTTGAGGCGCTAGGTTCCTACAGGTAGTCCTCAGCCTAGTATCATTATTGAACCCCAAATTCCCATTGCTAAATAGACAGACATAGAGGGATCCACCAAGCAGGTATAGATAGACCTTGACTCACAACCACAACGGAGTCCAAACTTTCTGTGGCTAAATGAGACACGGTTTTAAGTGACTTTGACCCCATCGAACAAGCTTCCTTGCCACACTCATTAAGTGAAACACTGCAGTTGTTAAGCTAGTCCACAGTTGTTAAGTGAATCTGGTTTCCCCATTGACTTGGCTTGTCAGAAGGGGATCACGTGACCCCGGGACACTGCAACTATCATAAATATGAACCAGCAAGTTCAAACCAGTGGTGATATGCTACCGGTTCGGACCAGTTCGACCAACCAGTAGTAAAAAAAAGGCTGACAATCAGCTGAGAGGAGGAAAAAAAATCCTCCTACAATCAGGTGAGAGGAAAAAGAAGAGAAAAGCGCAGGATTGGCCCTCCCATCCGCCCCTGCGCTTTTCTCTTTTTTAATCCTCTCAGCCGATTGGCCCTGCAGGTCTCAGCTGGTGTGGGGAAAGCTGCGCGCCAGCGTTAGGCAAAGCAGGCCCAACAAGCCACGCCCACTGAACTGGTGGTAAAATAATTTGAATCCCACCACTGCTTCAAACGGTCCTTAAATGAATGGTTGTAAGTGGGGGACTATCTGTATTTGCAAACAAGCCACTTCTCCCTTGTTAGACCCACCTGGCTCGCAAGGACAAGAAGGCAAGGTGTGTTGTGGGTTCCATCTATTAAGATTGTATATGTTATGTATTAGCTCTATGGAGAAACCATGAAAAAGGGCCTCCTCGGTGCTGGCCCTGTCTTTATGGAACAATATTCATCCTGAGTGATGGGGAGGTATTATGATGGGTTTTTTTAATATTATAAACTGTCCAAAGTTATCTTTGGGTGAGTTTGGTGGCCACATAATTTATAAAATAATAAAATAAAATAAAACAATTAAAATAAAAAAATAAAATAAAAACAATATAAAGTAAAATAAAATAAGTTGCAATAAATAAAAAGCAAAGTAAAATATAAAAATAAAACAAACTTAAAATAAAAAATAAAAAAACAATAAAATAAAAAAACTAAAGTAAAAATAAAATAAAGTTAAAATACAATAAAATAAAAATAAACTAAAATCAGAATAAGATAAAAAGTTAAAATACAGAAAAATAAAATATAAACTAAATATAAATAAGATGAAAAACTAAAATACAATAAAAATAAGCTGAAATCAAAATAAACAAAATAAGAGAAAAATTAAAATAAAATAAAATAAAAAGTAAAATCAAATCAAATTAAAATACAATAAAATAAAAAGTAAAATCAAATCAAATTAAAATGCAATAAATTTAAAAAATAAACTAAAATAAACTGAATAAATATTTCTGCTTCATTGACTATGCTAAAGCCTTTAATTATGTGGATCCCAACAAAAGTATTTGTTTAACAAAAGTAAAATAATAATAAAATATAAAATAAAATATAAAGTAAACAGCAGTTCAAACCAACAGAAGAGCATCCGGAAATGCGATCCCATACCTGGACGTTTCCCTCCATCCTTGATGGATACCCCCCCACTCCCCGGTCTCACCTTCCACTCGGAGGTATGCCCGGCTCTCTTCTCCTTCAGCTTCGGCGGTGACTTCCCCACTGTCCTGGACTGTCAGTTCAGTGAGGGTGAGACTATGATGGACATCCCGATGAGAAACGACATATTTCTTGCTGGCTTCAATCGGGGCGCCGCGGTGGCTCCACTTTACGGATGTGTCGCTGGGGGAGACGGTACATTCAAAAACTGCCTCTTTGCCTTCTTCTGCCACAACTTTGGAGAGGCCCTTGACAAACTTCACAACGCGAGGTGCTGAAGAATAGAGCAGGATACATATCACACAAAGGGGAAAACTGTTCTTTTGTGGATGTTTGAGGAGGGCCTCCTTAATATGATCTCTCAGCTTGCAGACTCGAATTTGTTAGAAAGTGACAAGGAGGAATTTCCAAATCAGCACACGTTGTAACTAAGAACATCATTGGTGCTAGAAGGGAGTGGGGTTTATTCTCTGTTTATGGACAAGTGGTTTGCTCTGACTTATCACTGATAGGCAAGTTATTTGTAGATAAACAGAGAAGAAACCAGAGTTCCTACTAGCACTGATGATGTTATCTAGTTTTATTTATTTGTTTGTTTGTTTGTTTGATTGATTGATTTGTCAATCACTTACAAGATACAGTTATAAGAATAAACATAGTTTTGAATACATGAGATAGATACTTATAAGAAAAATAAAAAGAAACAATAGGACAGGGACGGTAGGCCCAATTGGTGCGCTTATGCACGCCCCCCTACAGGCCTCTTAGGAAGGGAGTGAGGTCAATAGTAGACAGTCTAAGTTGGATCATGAAACGTCTACAAGAAAGATACCAAGCTCACAGAGCATCAAGGACTTATCACCTCCTCCTCCCTCCTTTTCCTCTTCCTCCTCCTCTCCTTCTCCTCCTCCACCACCGCCTGTTTCTTCTCCTCTCCACAAACCCCTCTCCCTTCTAGCTTGGTCATGAAACATCTGCAAGAAAGCAGTCAAGCTCAAAGAGCACCAAGGAACCCACAGTCCTCCTTCTCTTCCCCCTTCCCCCCCCTCCTCCTCTGTCTCCTTTGCTCCTCTTCCTTCTGCCCTCCTTCTCCACCTCTTCCTTCTCTTCCTCCTTCCCCTCTTCCTCCTCCTCCCTTCCACAAACGCCCACTCCCTTCTAACACTGATGTTCTCTCGTTCACAATAGCTGCTTTCTGTGGCACTACCACTTACCCCATAACATCAAAAAGTACCTGTGGGTGTGACTTGAATGGTGCATTGGTCATTCCTTGTCTCACATGAATATTCTCCCTTGTCCTCTGCTCGTAAGCTGGAGATGACCAGCACTCTCTTGGCACCAATTTCTTGCATTAGGTAGTGCTTGCTGGCTTTAAGGATTGTTCCATCCTTGCGCCACACAACCGTGCCTTCGGGCTGGCTGAGTTCACAACTCAAGCTCAAAGCTTTTCCGAGCTCAGCTTTTATGGGCTCTAGCTTTTTGGCAAACTTAACTGGTATTTCTGCAGGAGAATTGGAAGACAGAAAAAAAAATAGGTCAAAAGAAAGATCATATAGTGCGGTATTTATTTAGATTTTTTTAAAATCAAATGTCCAGTGGTATAAAATGTGCTGAACACAGAGGTTCTCTTTGTCCAATGATTTATCTGATGGATACATTTTTGGCTTAAGGAAGACGTTTTTCTAAGTTTTGAATAGTATGTAGCAGAAGAGGATATTTGTAGCTCAAGGTTGAACTGTGGGATCCAATGGTGATCTCTGAGCTGGGTTGGTTTCTTGCAGATATTTCATGATCCAAATAGGGGACATCATTAGTGCTAGAAGGATGTGGGAGGATTTTTTTGGGGGGAGGAGGAGGACTGTGGGGTCCTTGGGGCTCTCTGAGCTTGGTTAGTCTCTTGCAGACATTTCATGATCTATCTATGGAATGTGATCGAACCTCTCTCCCTTTTAGCACTGATGGTGTTAACCTAATTCATTCATGAAATATGTGCAAGAATGCAACAAGCTAAGAGAGCCCCAAGGACCCCACAGTCCTCTTCTTCCTCTCCCTCCTCCTCTCCCTCCTCCTCCTCCTCCTTCTCCATCCCCCTCCCCACAAACTCCACTCCTTTCTAGCACTGATGATGTTCCCGCAGAAATATTTGCAAGAAACCCACCCAGCTCAGAGACCACCCAAGATCCCACAGTTCAACCTCAAGCTACAAATATCCTCCTTTCTGCAAAACCAACCTCCTTCTAGCACTGATGATGTTCCTTAGTTGAGTCAGTTCCTTAGTTGAGTGCAAGAAAGCCACCAAGCTCAGAGAGCACTATAGACCCCCACAGCTCTCCTTCTTCTTCACTTCCTTTCTGCAAACCCCATTCCCTTCTAGCACCGATGGTGTTCCTATTTAGATCATGGAAACATCTGCAAGAAAGCCCCCAAGCTCAGAGAGCACCAAGGACTCCACAGAACTAGTAACTAATGGCTCACATAGCTCTTGACACCACATTATTCTGAGGCTGGAAAGAGCTTGAGATGATTTATTTCATCTTTGACTGATCTGATCTTTCTGTCTCATGTTAGTTGGCCTTGCAATCTTCACCAAATTGCTTTGACATTTCAGGATGGCCACCTCTGTTTGTCTCTCACCTTCCACCTTGAGTTGGAACTGCTGTTTCTCACTCATAGTTTCGCAGGTGTACAGACCAGCATCTTTTGTTTCGGCTGTCTTCACAATCAAGGTCCTAGCCGCCTTTTCCTTCTTGACCTCATAGTTCTTACCATCTTGGATCTCAACTCCGTCCTTGAACCATTTGACCTCAGCATCCTCAGGTGATACCATGGCGGAAAAGATGACCTCCTTGTGCTCCTGAGCAACAATGGTCTCCTCCTGAGCAGCTTTTCTTTGGAGTTTGACCTCTGGTTCTGGAAGACCAATGGGAAAATAAGTACAGGTAAGTCCTCAACTTATGATCACACTTAAGACAGGAATGCCTGTTGCTAAGCAAGGCAGTTTGTTAAGTTGGTGGTGAATCTAACCCTCTTCCCCATCAATACCTCATAGAACATAGAATGATAATAATAGAATTGGAAGGGACCTTGGAGACTTCTAGTCCAACCCTCTGTTCAAGCAAGAGACCCGATACCATCCTGGGCAAACGGCTGTGCAATCCCTTCTTGAAAACCTGCAGGGGTGGAGCACCCAGAGGCTATGGAAAGTTGTTCCTCTATTAATTGTTCTCACCGTTTGGAAATTTCTCCAGAGTTCCAGGTTGCTTCTGTCTTTGGTTAGTTTCCATCCATTGCTTCTTGCTCTGCCTTCTAGTGCTTTGGAGAACAGGTTGAACCCCCCCCCTCCTTTGTGGCAGCCCCTCAAATATTGGAAGGCTGCTATCGTGTCATCCCTAGTCCTTCTCTTTGATTGGTTAGACATACAGGTTATCCTCGACTTACAACCATTCACTTAGTGATCATTAAAAGTTACAACATCATCACAGAAAAAAGTGACTTATGACTGTTTTTCACATGCCCTTTGCAGCATCCCTATGGTCACATGATCAAATTCAGATGCTTGGCAATTCACTTAACAAATATCTCACTTAACAACATAAATTTTGGGTTCAATTGTGGTCGTGTGTGTAGGATTACCTGTACTATCCTCTCACATGATCTTCCTCAATTGAAAGAAACCTGGGACTACACTGGTCTTTTTAGAAGCTGCAACACATTATTAGAAAAGGAGAAGAGAAACTCACCTGTTGCTTCCACCTTGAAAGTCACTTTCTGGCCACCTGCTTCACAGGTATACTCTCCAACGTCCTTCATTGCCACTTGCTCCAGACACAGTTTACGAGTGGTTCCATCTGATTCCATCTTGATGTGTCTGCTGATGGGGATGCGTTGTCCATCTTTGTACCATTCCACCTGAGTGTCCGAAGTGGCCACCTGGCAGGTCAAAATGGCATTCTCCTTCAGGACTGTCCTGACCTCCTTCTTCATTTTGTCCTTATTTGTAAAGACTTCAGGAGCTTCTGTGATGAGGAAGAAAAAAGAGATGTTGGCGACTTGCACCACAAGAATCAAATTTTAATCTCTTTATCTTATTTCAATCTCTACCTACTTATATATTCCTTCATCATCTCATCCTTCCATCCTTCTCTCTCTCTCTTTCTCTCTCAAATCTGTCCATACATCATATTCGTTCATCTCTATGTCTATGTGTCTTTCTGTCTGTTTCATCTTTCTATGTTTCTAAATGTCTGCCTGCCTGCCTGACTGCCTGCCTATCTGTCTGGGCGTCCACTCACCCACCCGCCCATCCATCCATCCATCCATCCATCCATCCATCCATCCATCTATCTACACTGCTCAAAAAAATAAAGGGAACACAAAAATAAGACATCCTAGATCTGAATGAATGAAATATTCTTATTAAATACTTTGTTCATTACATAGTTGAATGTGCTGACAACAAAATCACACAAAAATTATCAATGGAAATCAAATTTAGCAACCCATGGAGGTCTGGATTTGGAGTTACACTCAAAATTAAAGTGGAAAAAAACACTACAGGCTGATCCAACTTTGATGTAATGTCCTTAAAACAAGTCAAAATGAGGCTCAGTAGTGTATGTGGCCTCCACTTGCCTGTATGACCTCCCTACAACGCCTGGGCATGCTCCTGATGAGGTGGCAGATGGTCTCCTGAGGGATCTCCTCCCACACCTGGACTAAAGCATCCCCCAACTCCTGGACAGTCTGTGGTGCAACGTGGCGTTGGTGGATGGAGCGAGACATGATGTCCCAGATGTGCTCAATTGGATTCAGGTCTGAGGAACGGGCGGGCCAGTCCATAGCATCAATGCCTTCGTCTTGCAGGAACTGCTGACACACTCCAGCCAATGAGGTCTAGCATTGTCGTGCATTAGGAGGAACCCAGGGCCAACCGCACCAGCATATGGTCTCACAAGGGGTCTGAGGATCTCATCTCAGTACCTAATGGCAGTCAGGCTACCTCTGGCGAGCATATGGAGGGGCTGTGTGGCCTCCTAAAGAAATGCCACCCTACACCATTACTGACCTACTGCCAAACCAGTCATGCTGGAGGATGTTGCAAGCAGCAGAACGTTCTCCACGGCGTCTCCAGACCCTGTCACATCTGTCACATGTGCTCAGTGTGAACCTGCTTTCATCTGTGAAGAGCCCAGGGCACCAGTGGCCAATTTGCCAATCTTGGTGTTCTCTGGCAAATGCCAAACGTCCTGCACGGTGTTGGGCTGTAAGCACAACCCCCACCTGTGGACGTCGGGCCCTCATACCACCCTCATGGAGTCTGTTTCTGACCATTTGAGCAGCCACATGCACATTTGTGGCCTGCTGGAGGTCATTTTGCAGGGCTCTGGCAGGGCTCCTCCTGTCCCTCCTTGCACAAAGGCAGAGGTAGCAGTCCTGATGTTGGGTTGTTGCCCTCCTATGCCTCCTCCACATCTCCTGATGTACTGGCCTGTCTCCTGGTAGCGCTTCCATGCTCTGGACACTACGCTGACAGACACAGCAAACCTTCTTGCCACAGCTCACATTGATCTGCCATCCTGGATGAGCTGCATTACCTGAGCCACTTGTGTGGGTTGTAGACTCCGTCTCATGCTACCACTAGAGTGAAAGCACCGCCAGCTTTCAAAAGTGACCAAACCATCAGCCAGAAAGCATAGGAACTGAGAAGTGGTCTGTGGTTACCACCTGCAGAACCACTCCTTTATTGGGGATGTCTTGCTTAACAGTCTATGCTTTCCACCTGTTGTCTATTCCATTTGCACAACAGCATGTGAAATTGATTGTCAATCAGTGTTGCTACCTAAGTGGACAGTTTGATTTCACAGAAGTGTGATTGACTTGGAGTTACATTGTGTTGTTTAAGTGTTCCCTTTATTTTTTGAGCAGTGTAGTTTGTCTATATCCATCCATCCAACTATCATCTATACCTATCTATCATCTATTTATCATCTCCCTGTCTCTCTCTTCCCCCTTTTCTCTCTGATTCAATATCCATACTTTTGTCAACTTAAGTGTTAAAGTCTGTAACCCACTCAAAAACTTCATAATTGCTTCTACATAATTTTCACCCCACTCACCTGGGTTAGAGAGAGGGAGAAAGGTTTCAAGAATGCCCAAATAGCACCCGAAGATTATCACTTGAATGCCCAAATAGCACCCGAAGACCACAAGAAGATTCAGCCTTCCTGGTTGAACAAACTTTATGATATTGACTCATTCTATATGGAGCAAAATTGTTATTCTCACCTTCAACAACAACTTTGTAAGTCAACTTCTGTTTTCCAGCTTCACAAGTGTATTCACCTTCATCTCTCTTCTCCACCTGTTGGACAACCAGACGCCGGGATCTGCCTTCGGCTTCTATCTTGAATTTCTGGCTGGAGGGGATCAATTTCCCATCCTTGAACCACTTGACATCTGTCTTGGCCTGGGCCACCTCACAGCTGAGAGAGATGGTCTCTGTAGCCACAACCTTGAGGTCCTTCTCGAACATCTCCTTGTTGGCAAACATCTCCTCAGCTTCTGGACCATGATCATAGCAGGGTTTAAAAAGCAAACAAAGAAAAAAGCAATAATTACTAAATACAGGGCTGTTCTTCTGTAGAATTAGGGTCTTTTGCTAATTTTGTTTAACTCATTTTTTCATTAGATTTTTAGCTACCTGGAATTCTTTACTAAAAGAAATATAATAGGAGCTGATTCTCTGTTTTTAGAAAGCATAGAATAATGCAATCGAAATCTTTGAGCTATTTCAAATTCATAATGTGTTCCAAAAAAAGTATAATTGTCACAATCAATATATCTATATTTATATCTATTATCATATATCTATCACTCTATCTATCACTCTATCACTCTATCACTCTATCTATCTATCTATCTATCTATCTATCTATCTATCTATCTATCTATCTATCTATCT